AGCATCCTGGCTCGCTTTGTGGTGACAGGCACACAGTGACCACAATACTGGTCAGCCGCTAAGAGGGTTTTGTGTTATCTAGCAAGTACATCGGTCATGGGGCTAGTGCTAGGGAGATGCAGGCTTGTGGTCCTTACAGGGCACACAGACGCTTTGTGGGCAGACAATGCTGAGACACTCAGGTCCTCCCGGGGCTACTACTTTAGCCTTGGTTCGGGTGCCATCTCTTTGATGTCCACTTGCTCCTTGTATGCTGCCCAGTCTAGCTGTGAGGCTGAGTTCTACGCCAGTGCCATGGCGGCACAGGAGCTCCGCTGGCTGACTTTCTTGCTCACAGACTTAGGTGAGCAGCCTAGCTCTGCCTCGGTCCTGTACGCTGACAACGGGGCCATGATCCTCCTGTGTTAGGAGCCTTGACTGGAGGGCAGAGCGAAGCACATCCAGCTGCGGTACTTCCTCCTGCGCGAGCTACAGCAGCGCCGTCAGGCCCGCGTAGTACATTTGGCCTCTGGTGCCAACATAGCTTATATCTTTACTAAGGTGCTTGCACCTAAAGATCATCAGCGGCACTGTGTACAGCTTGGTTTTGTTCCTGTAGGTCCTCACTTGCTAGGGCCTTGATTGTGTACTACTCTTTTATATATGCTCCTGACTGGACTTGTGGCTTCTGTTCCAGTGGTCGGACTAGTAGTGCCGCCCTGGTTTGCTCTTGTCTAGTTTGTACTCTTCTGACTGGTCGTTTGACCCTTGCCTCAGAGGTTGGACTAGTAGTGCCATCCAGAGCTGCGTGTCTCTTGCCAAGCACTGCCCCTTGTCTACCCTAGGGGATGTGTCAACATGTATTTGTACAGTATATGTTAATAGGCTAGCTAGGTGCATGCCCATAGAGAGTACAACACTTAGAACAAAACTACCCTGTATCGTCTTTTCTAGTTCATTTCACTACTCTGAGAGTAATGACGTAACTCTTGTGTTGCTTACATGGCGAGATGGATGGTGAATTTGGCCGTGATGCCGCCAGTTGCCGTGATTACTCCTGACACGTTCACTACATCATCATCGGGAGACGGGTGGGTGGGGGGACAAAGACACACCCAGGGAGAAGGTGAAGAAGGTGAGACATCATCGAGTGCGAATTCAAGAGCGTCTCGTGAAAGGCAGCCCCGACAACTGCCAATCACAGCAAGGCGAGGACAAATGAAGGCGCTCGCCGCTCGGCGAGAAGCAGGGGATCAATTGTCTGATCATCACTTGATGGTGGGTTTGGAAGTGCGGTTAGTGTCGGAAGTCCGTGACAGGTAGAAACGGCCGTACTTTTAGTGTCGGAGGTGATGACTAGGTTGGTGGTGGTGGTGGTGCCAGCGGTTGTGCCAATGGTCTGCAGCAGATGACGGTTGGTGGCCGCGCCCGAGACGAAGGCGAGCAGAGCTGCAGGGGGGGGGCGGGAGGACGGAGAATGGCAGAGATAATTGTTGGGAGAGGAAGAGAGGAGGGATCTCGAGGAAGATCAAAGCTTGAATTCGGTAGTCGATCGAAATTCTGGGGATTAAGAATCACACGGTGTGGTTGCGTCCGCGGCCCGCACTTCAAAGGGCAAAGGTTAGCCGCCACGAATCGCGAAACAATCCTTTCCCCCGAGCGGAGCGAGCAGAGCAGCAAGCGACGGTTGAACGACTCGCTTTTCTCAGAGCAGAGCAAAGTAGAGTTGGGAGCAGAGCATAGGAGAGCAGAGAAGAGCAGAGCAGAGTAAAATGAGTCAGACCAGTCTGGCAGGCAAATCAACCCGCGGTGAACCGCGTGGCACTCACCAAAGAGGGCGAGGGCGAGTCGCTGGAGGGCAAAAGCGTGCGGCAGAAACGACGAGGCAGCCATGATTGCTGCTTGGAGCGGAGATTGCAGACAGCGACTCATTGGTTGGTCGAGAGCCCGAGATCGCAGAGAGTGAGCGAGGGTCGCGGTGACTGGCGTGAGTCGAATGAGAACGAGACGAATTAGATTAATGGGATGAATGGCTGAGAGAGAGTGGCAAGGCCTTTTATAGACGCACGGGGGAGGCACGATTTCTGCTGGACTTTGCGGCTGGTGCGATAGGACGAGGGAAACCAATGCTTCCCATTCGCCGAAACGCGTTCGAAACAACGAGGCTGGTTTCGTGTACGATGTCCGATCATGCCACCATGAAATGTGGCAACGCGATTGCAATCTAAGGTGTCCCTGGTCTATCATCAGCGGTCAAGCACTGACCTTGATCTAGCGTAGCAACAGCTGGCAACTTCTGGAATCCCAGCCTGGTTGGCTTTCGTGTTTCTTTCGGAATGCTCGTCTACGAGGACTCGGTGTGGTGCGGTAGAATAAGTTCCACCGGGATGAAATGCGGTCGCTAGGCAGTTGGTGTTCGTCTGAGGCATCGAGAGCGGCGCCAACTCCGGTGCGCTGTCCAGTCCAAGTTAGTTCGATCTCAGAAGTTTTGTGCGGTCCTGCGTGGTACAAAAAAGGTTGTTGGAGCTCTGTCGCGGTGTTGAAGGTTGCAGTGCGATCTCGTGGCAAAGATTGTGGCATCACCAAGGTGTCGAGTGATCGTTGGGTACCGCATTTCATGCCACAAACTTTGGCCCATGGAACGCGGTGCTTTTAGGTTCGAATTCCGAACGAGGTTTGACACGTGAACGAGCAAGAGTACAGTACCACGCTGTACCCCGTGGAAACGTTATGATAAAGTCGAAATTGACGTGCGAACCAGGCGTTCGCTGAATGTTTACAAGTTTGCAGACTGAGTTCGCTAACTCCAAAGGGTAGGGTCGATTTGCATGCCTGACCAGGAAGTGCACGTTCCGTTCGTCGTTGGTTACCAGTCGGGTGCGAACTCGGAAGCCTTAATGTACCCCCCCCTAACGCCTGAACCACGTTTTAACCATGTCAAATTTTGAACTAGAGGTTCGAAATTCCTGTTTTCTCCAAAAAGCACCGCGTCCTCAACTGCCAAATGCAAGAAAAGCGGGGACCGGGCATAAGGCTGGCCATTATCCAAGAGGATGGTTGATGGTGGCGACCGCGTATTTTGACGCGCTTAGGGTGTGGGACCTCCAATTCGTGATCACGAATTGGGCACGGACTTTTATGTGGTTACAATTTTCACGAATGTCGTTGGCTGACTTCGTCCGTCGCCAAAAACCTTCACGACAATTCATACCAAGGATGGAACATGCATTACGAATATCCCCGTCCGTACGGCAACTCCGCAACTTTCAAATTTCTGGAGGCGTTGCACAACTTGCAGCGCACGAAAATGTGCTGCGAAATGCCCAGTCACCGGGGTTGGTGGTGAGAATTTCGCCAAACCCCCGCCAACATTTCAACCAGGGTATGTCATTTTGGTTGGGCGATGCGCAATTTGTAGCGAGCAGTGGCGAAGCTGCACGAGGGTTGGCGATGCATGGTCATTGTCACCACATTCGTGCATGTTGGGACCTCGTGTGTTTTGGTGCGTGATTCGCAAGCTGGTACAGACTTTCGATGGGCGTCGTCTGTACTGCCAAAATTCGGGAAAATTATACGCGGGGTAACTCTTACTTTTCGTTTCCCCGATTCAGTCACTCTTTTCTCATCCCAGTCAATGTTCTATCGAGTCGAAATCAGCAGCATCAATTTTTTGTTCAGTTTGATGCTGCATGGCAAAATCTTTCGCCACGTGTCCGAAAATGGCGAGATCCCAGAGAATAGGGAGACTATTTGTAGTGACAAATAAATAGAAACTCTATCTGAAAGCAACATTCGATTTCGCTCACATTCAAATTTCGCATTAGATTATATTCGCGAAGACTAACTAGCCAAGTGTTGTCTTCTTGTGGGAAGAAACAATGAGCAGAGGAAGCGCACACAGCTTGCGCAAGTGAACGTGTGCGAATTTACTGGTTGTTACGAAAATCCCCGAATGGAAAAACATTATTTCCGTTGCAGAAATCTATCAAGCCATTCTTCAAGGTGTAAACTAGACTTATGTCAATATTTATGACGTTTTGTTTTTCGGGATGCCCAAAAAACTCAAACCTACGGAGCCCGCATGCGACTCGTGGTGGCATCTGTCATAAACTTGTTAAAATTATATAAGTTATAATTTATATAGGCTTGGTAGGTTGTTACTGAACCTTTTCTGTAGAGGGTACAAACCCCTCCTTGTACTCCTCTCTCTTCCTAATCCAACACTCTTTCCTCTCGACATTTTCCTACTCTCCTAGCTAAACCCCACCGCCACAACCATGGCTGCCTTCTTTCACTTCCTCCTAGCCTAAGGCTACTTTAACAAAACTCCGGGCTTTGTGCGTCTTTAGGGTTGATGCCACCCCAAGTCGAATATCGGGCCACTGCGGGTTTTATTTTGTTTCAGGCTGCCCTAATCGACATGTCTGTATCTCAATAACGAGTCGTGGAGCTGTGCGCGAATGTAAATCATGACAGAATCCTCTACTAACTATGACGTTTTCTCTTCAAAGTTTGGACGTTAGTATTTAACTCTCGATGTTTTGAGACATCGCGTGTCCAGGAAACGTGTCGAAAGATTTTGCCATGCGGCATCAAACTAAACAAATGGTTTGACGCTGCTGATTTCGACTCGATAAAACATCGACAGAGATGAGAAAAGAGTGACTAAATCCGGAAAATGAAGAGTAAGAGTTACACATTGTATAATTTCCCCTAAATTCGTGATTGGTGCGGAGTTTTGCGGTTTGTAGCCGATGTCCCACACCTTTTTTGGTTCAACTCTTGCGCGAGACATGCCCATCAAATATACAATTATCCTAACAATACAGAGGAAATGTGAGGAGAAAAGGTGACGGTATCTGATGGAGATGAGGGGTATCGATCCCCTTACCTATCGCATGCGAAGCGATCGCTCTACCATGTGAGCTACACCCCCTATGACAGAATCAGACATTTTAAGCTATCAGGTAATAAAACGTATCCTTGCTTCCGATTCTTTCCAGGCAATTGCTGTTTTTTTTGGACAGCAATGGCGGGCCGACCAGAGCAGCTAGCGCCCCCCGAGGTGTTCTACAATGACGCCGAAGCGCGCAAGTACACCACGTCGTCTCGCATGATCGAGATCCAGGCACGTCCGCTTCCGACGGAGCATTTTCCATTCTCCCTAGGGATTGACACGACACCGAGTTGAGGTCCGAGTTACGAGGCAGCAGTCAATCGCGACTTGTCGAATGCGCCTCTCGTTTGACCTGCTGAGCCCTCGCCTTTGTCTATACGCGTTATAGATTAGGATCCTATTAGTGGCGTAGAGTAAAGCGGTTTTCAAACTGCATTCCGCAGCCCGCTGTGTTGGCTCCCCACAAGCAGAAACCCTCAGCTCGCTGCGTGTCTTTTCGTTACAGTCACACCCTTGCACGCCAACTCGGTTTCTCGCATACATTTACAAGCTTGCCACGGACCGTGACAAAACCCATCTAAAGCCCGAATTCCCCAACCTCGTCCACCCTTCCTCTGTTCCCCTACTACCGCGTGACTATAACAGGCGAAGCTTACAGAGAGAGCAGTCGAGCTCCTCGCGCTTCCCGACGATGGCACCCCGCGCCTGCTGCTCGATATCGGTGCGCCCGCGGGGGAACAATGGGGGGAAAGGGAGGGGGGGAGAAAAGGGGAGAGGAGTGGGTGGGGGTTTTCAAAAGCCAGTTGGTTGGTAGATGAAGGCGCCCCGCGCCTGACGATGGCACCCCGCGCCTGCTGCTCGGCGTCGGTGCGCGGAGGGGCAGGGAGGGAGTTTTAGTGGGGATGGGAGAAAGGCAGGGGGAAAGAGAGGGGAAGGTGGGGTTTTTCAAAATCAAGAGGCAGGCACGCCGCGCCTGCTGATCGACACCGGTGCGCGAAGAATCAGGGCGGAGAAGGAAGAGGGGTTGGCGGCGAGGTAGGGGTCTTATATAGTGAGCATGACATCCCGCGCCTGCTGCTGAACATCGGTGCGTGGGGGAACGAGGGGGGATGGGGAGGGGGAGGGGGAGGGGAGGGGGAGGGGGGGGGTGGGGAGGGAGGGTAGAGAGGGATGGGTGGGGGTTTTGGAAACCAAGTTGGTTTTAGAAATGAAGGGGTAAAAGGGGGGAAGGGGGGAAGGAATGGCGGAAGGGGGGAAGGGGGGGAAGGGGGGAAGGGGGGGGGAAAGGGGGAAGGGGGGAAGGGGGAAGGGGGGAAGGGGGGAAGGAAGGGGGGAAGGAAGGAAGGGGGGAAGGAAGGAAGGGGGGAAGGAAGGAAGGGGGGAAGGAAGGAAGGGGGGAAGGAAGGAAGGGGGGAAGGAAGGAAGGGGGGAAGGAAGGAAGGGGGGAAGGAAGGAAGGGGGGAAGGAAGGAAGGGGGGAAGGAAGGAAGGGGGGAAGGAAGGAAGGGGGGAAGGAAGGAAGGGGGGAAGGAAGGAAGGGGGGAAGGAAGGAAGGGGGGAAGGAAGGAAGGGGGGAAGGAAGGAAGGGGGGAAGGAAGGAAGGGGGGAAGGAAGGAAGGGGGAAGGAAGGAAGGGGAAGGGGGGAAGGAAGGGGGGAAGGGGGGAAGGGGGAAGGGGGGAAGGTGGGAAGGTGGGGGTGGAGTAGGGGAGGATGGGGGGAAGGGTTTCTGATGTGGATTTCAGAATCAAGTCGATGGCACCCTCGCCTGCTGCTGGGCTAGTGGGAGCAAGAGGGGGGAAGGGGGGGAGGGAGGTGGGGGAAGGGCGTGGCGAGAGCAGGGGAGGATGGGGGGGTAAGGGTTTTGATTTTGGTTCGGTGGCAGGAAAAGAAGAAGTGCGGGGAAAGGAGATTGTTTTGTGACTGGTGTCGAAACCTCTTTATCTCCCGTCGCTCCAAGGGCGCCCCCATGTTCGTCCGTCTTCCTCTCACTCCCCCCACCCTCCACTCACTTCCCCCCGTTCCCCGGTCTCTCCCCCCGGACCCCCCCACACTGTCCCCTTTCCCTAACCCCTTCTCAGGTTGCGGTTCCGGGCTGAGCGGGGAGGCGTTATCTGAGGCGGGTCACCACTGGGTGGGGCTGGACATATCGCCCGCTATGCTGGGTGGGTGGGGAAGGAGGAAAGGAGGCGGGAGGGGGGTAGATTGTCAGGAAGGGAACGTCTCGATGAAGTCATATCATATGCGGCCTATGCTGTCGCCTCTCACGCTCTTACCTTGTTCCGTGCTCCGGTTTGCCGGGATCATTGGTTCGCATGCCTGTGTCTGTGGCTGTGCTCACGGCTGTGCCGTGCCGTGCCTGCCTCTCTGTTCTCTCTCATGCCCATGCCCGTGCAGACGTGGCAGCAGAGCGGGCAGTGGACGGCGATCTCATGCTCTCAGACATGGGGCAGGTGGGATCTGGGGCAGGTGGGATCTGGAGGAAGGTGGGATCTGGGGAAGGTGAGATCTGAGGCAGGTGAGATCTGGGGCAGGTGGGATCTGGGGGAAGGTGGGATCTGGGGCAGGTGGGATCTGGGGCAGGTGGGATCTGGGGGAAGGTGGGATCTGGGGCAGGTGGGATATGGGGAAAGGTGGGATTTGGGGAAGGTGGGATCTGGGGCAGGTAGGATCTGGGGGTAGGTGGGACCTGGGGGAAGAGGGATCGGGGAAAGGTGGGATATGGGGCAAGTGGGATGAGGGAAAGGTGTGATGATCGTGCGCAAGTAGTGCTACTAGCATCAAGGATGATCACTCGCATCCCATTTCCACCAACCAACGCCTCCTTTTTCACTGCGCCCTTCCAACCGAGCCTTACGTCATTCTCCCATACGCCCACCATCCCTCATCCATCCATCCCTCATCCCTCCATCCGCCCATCCCTCCATTCCTCCATCGCTTTCCATCGCTCTCCGTCGCTCTCCACCGCTCTCCCTTGCAGGGCCTTCCGGTGCGCAATGCTGTTTTCGACGGAGCCATCAGCATCTCAGCAGTGCAGGTATGACGTCAGCAGTGCAGGTATGGCGTCAGCATTGCAGGTATGACGTCAGCAGTGCAGGTGTGGCGTCAGCATTGCAGGTTTGACGTCAGCAGTGCAGGTATGGCGTCACTGGCATACTCGTTAGTCTAGCTGCATTTCTTTCTCTCTGCTTGCTTGCACGCCTATGTTCCTCATGTCCTCCCGTTCCCTTTTTTGAGAATTCTGAAGAATGACTCATTTCCTCCTGTTCCCTGTTACCTGCGCAAGTAGCAGTGAGAGCCAAAGTTGCTGTCATGGCACACAACAAGAGCACGCGTTTCCTCCTGCCTCTCCACCACTCTCCACCATTCTCCACCACTCCTTGTCCTGTCCACGGCCCTGCTGTCTCCCCCCCCAGTGGCTGTGCAATGCAGACAAGTCCTCGCACAATCCCCGCCTTCGCCTCAAGTGAGTGCTTATCACCCATGCCCTTGTTGCTCTAATGGCGCCTGCACTTTCTTGTTGTCACCAAAGCCTCACATGCATGTTGCTGTTGTTTGCAACGCCTCTGCTTATTCTGCCACCGCCCCCGCACTTTCTTGTTTGTTGCTCTAGTCTAATGCACATGCTTTCTCAAAAAGCATTTGTCAAAGGGGTGATCACATGTAGTCACACACACACACACACACACACACACACACACACACACACACACACACACACACACACACACACACACACACACACCCACACCCACACCCACACCCACCCACCCACCCATGCACGCACGCACGCACGCACGCACGCATGCACGCACCCACACACAAACCCGCACTGATCTTGCACGCTCACTGTTCTCACTCTCACACGCATGAGTTTCCAGTATTCACCCTGTCTTCCCCCCTCTCCCCCACTTTTCTCCCACTTACCAACACGCAGGGCCTTCTTCCGGTCGCTCTACCAATCTCTGGCCAGGGCTGCTCGGCCGTCCTGCAAATTTAATCCAACAACCCCCCGCACCTGGAGTCGAATCAAAATAAACCCCCTTCCCCCCCCCTCCCGCTCTCCCTCGCCCCCACCTCTCTCACACCCCCCCCTCAGGGCGTTCTTCCAGTTGCTGTACTGCTCCATTGCCAGGGGGGGCAGGGCAACCTTTTAGATGTACCACATGTTTCTCTAACCTCCCTCTCCTCACCCTCTCTCCCCCGGCAGGGCCTTCTTCCAGTCGCTGTACCGCTCCCTTGCCAGGGGCGGCAGAGCAGCCCTGCAGATCTACCCCAATGGCGCACCACAGCTTGAGATGATCTCTAAGGCTGCAATGCAGGCCGGCTTCTCAGGAGGGCTCGTGGTGGATTACCCTCACAGGTGATTGTAAAGGGGGGTTCGTTGTGGACTACCCTCACATGTGATTGTAAAGGGGGGCTCGTGGTGGACTACCCTCACAGTGGATGGTTGTTTCTCTTTCATCCTGCATCTGTTTTTCTTGACTTCTATATTGCCTCCCAAAAAGGTTGAAGTATAACTTGATTTCTCACTCTTCTCCTTTCCCCTTTCCCCCCGTTCCATCCGCATGCTTACGCCCCTGATTGCCTTCGTTGCTTGCAGCACCCGAGCCAAAAAGTACTTCTTATGTCTGGTAGCTGGGCCCGCAGGAAGCCGACCAATGCCCAAGGCTAAAGAGGGCGACGGGGAGAGCGAGGAGAGTGAGGATGGTGAGGGTAGCGATGAGAGTGATGGGGGGGGAACTGTGGGGTATGAGCAGAGGCAGAGGCAACGGCCTGGGAAGAAGCAGAGGCTAAACACGAAAGGTGCCAAGGGGAGGAATTGGGTGTTGAAGAAAAAGGAGCACCGGCGGCAACGAGGCGATATGGATGTTCCGAGAGACACCAAGTACACTGCTCGGAAAAGGAAATCCCGGTTTTGATTAGTGTGTATTGCAGAGTGGTAGTGCCATAATCACGCTTGTGAAAGGTTGTGGTTTCAAATTCAAGTTATGTGATTTCTTTTTCTCCAACCGTGGTTTGGCTTCACTGTAGGATCAACTGGAGTGGATTATAACGGCTAGAGCTGCTCCAATTTCATTGGGCGATGGCAGGGACGCGCTGGACTCCACGTGGTTAGGGCGTGGACCTTGAGAATGCGTGGAATGGCCCTTGAATGACGTGCCCTGGGGAGAGCATCCAAGGCGGTGTGATATCCAACACTGTCAGAAGTTTCCTGCTGCTGAAAGTTGCTGGGACCACATGAGCCCAGCTCCACGTCATCTCCTTTCCGTCCATCTCCGCGAGTCTCACCTCGACGGTGGTGTAGTTTCCGTCCTCTCTGGCTGCAGCCAAATCCACCCCCGTGCCTGGACACGTCGATTTCGCCGTACGTTCCGTCGACATTCCGTTAGCCTCCGTCTATTCCGCAGCAAACCTCCTCCGTTTGCTTCCCTCCCAACCAACCACGCCATGAGAAATCACATCGCATGCCTATATCTCAAATACGTCTTCAACTTTCCAGCCCAGTTACTTCTGCGAGCTTCTCTGTGCAGCCATTAACTCCATCAACGCCAGGTGCTTATCGTGACACCAGTTCGTGCCTGCCAGAGGCTCGGTGTCCGCCACTATTGCTGGAAAACCCTCTTCTGGTTAGATCACCAGCGAGCATTTGGTCAAATAGGCCTCTGATTTCAACGCGAAAGGCTAGAAGCAATGGGTTCTGAATCGCGTGATGCCGCCACGAATCGTCTCTCCGTCCTGGCCGGTCACCTCTCGCTCTCAGACGTTCGCCAGGACGGCCAGTGGCTTCGCGTGAACCCCACGTCAGCGGAGATCAGGCCCGCTCCCGGCGGTGGTCCCGGCGTGCTGCACGTGGTGGACGGGCGCACGGGGAAGAAGTACGACCTCGAGATCAACGAGGACGGCGCCATCCGCGCCAGCGATTTCAAGAAGGTTAGTCTTGTTTCGAGGTGTCACGTTGCCGGCCTGTAACACCACAATTTACCCTCATTTCGTATCAGTTATTGAAATTTGACCATTTACGGTTTGTCGTGGTTTTACTGGCTGCTAACGTCAGATCAAGGCGGGAGGCGATGGCAACGGTCTGAAGCTGTACGATCCTGGTTATCTCAACACGGCGCCCGTCCGATCGTCCATCTGCTACATCGACGGCGATAAGGGGATCCTGCGATATCGCGGTTACCCGATTGAGGAGCTCGCTGAGCGAAGCACGCACCTTGAGACAGCCTACCTGCTCAGTAAGTACAGCCGCAATCCCAATCACACGTGGGGAAAGATGTTATGTTTTCATCTATTAAACTATTTTTTTAGCTGCGTAACGCTGACATGACGGTGTACATTGGCAGTGTACGGCAATCTGCCGACCCAGGAGCAGCTGTCGGACTGGGAGGCCACCATCATGCAGCACTCCGCGCTGCCAGACGGCGTTCTGGTGAGTTGACGGATTCCGACGACACCACCTTAAATAAAAAAAAAAAAAAAAAAAAAAAAACCGAGTCAGTTTTGAGAGAAAAATGCACCACCCACCTGCCATCGCTGAATCGCTCATGCACCCAGCACTCCCCTGCTCCTGTCCTCCCGTATCCGTCCTGCCAGGCGGTGATCGCGGCTCTCCCCCGCGACAGCCACCCCATGGGAGTGCTCACAGGGGCCCTCTGCGCACTCTCCTCCTTCCACGCGGATGCCAACCCCGCGCTGCAGGTATCCTGTCGCGCTCATGCTCATTTCAAACGAGAGTTCCGTCTCGAAAAGCGTCCCCCGTTGCTGCCGTGCTGTTTCGTGTGGGGATAGGGCTCCGCCGTTGGACTGGCCCCCCGGTCTACCAAATGGTTGGTTGCCGTCTCATGCATGAACGTGGCACGTGACCATCTCATGTGTGAGCGTGGCACGTGCGTGTGCAGGGTCAAGACCTCTACAAGTCGAAGGCTGTTCGCAACAAGCAGATCGTGCGAGTGCTTGGCAAGGTACGACGATAGCTCTGCTATTTCTCGCTGCTAACTCTTTTGAAGCGTGCTAATTTTGAATGATTAGTGCTGGGAATCGCTTTGGCAGCAAGCTTCAAGTGCGTATCCATCCTTGGCCTATGGCGTCATTTGTCGTGCCCTCTTCTCCTGCATTGCGTTGCGTTCGCCCAGGTGCCCACCATCGCCGCTGCAGCCTACCTGCACATGGCGGGGCGGCCCCCTGTGGCGCCTGCAGGCCACCTGTCGTATGCCGAGAACTTCCTCTACATGCTCGACTCCATGTAAGCACGTTCCAATGCTCCACTCTATGTAAGCACGTGCCGCTAGTAAACTACCGGCTAAGAAGTTGGTGTGCTTGCTTGTGCGCCCTATTTGTCTGTGTTTGCCAGTGTCAACCACTCCAACTGCAATGAGACGTGCGATGGAATGGTTAATGGTCGACGCTCTTTAGACTCTGCACGCTGCAATGTAATGGAGCGTGTAATATTAACCTCCTGTGCCCATGCGTGAGCTTCCCTTGTCGTGCGTTGACCAGGGGCGACCGCTCGTACCGCCCGCACCCGCGTCTGGCGCGAGCGGTGGACATTCTCTTCATCCTGCACGCGGAGCACGAGATGAACTGCTCCACCGCCGCCGCGCGCCACCTCGCCTCCAGGTGTCTTGCTTGCTCTCCTCGTTCCCAAGGGTTACGCTCTCTCGTTCCCACCCCCCTCGCGCATTCTCGTTCTCTTCATCCTGCTCGAGATCAACTGCTCCACCACCGCTGCGCGCCACCTCGCCTCCAGGTGCGTTTCCTCGCCTCCAAGTGTGTTGTTTGCTTCCTCGCCTCTCCACGGGTTACTGTCTCTCCCATCCACCCCCCTCGAGCTTTCCCATTTGCTCTCGTCGTTCCAAGGGGCGCGTCTCGTCTCCTGGTATGATTCCTGCTGTGTGTTGCTTGCTCGTCTCGCCTCCAGGTGCCATAATTGCTCGTTCTCTTTGCCTCTTAACTTGACGTTCCTCACCCCCCTCACTTGGTTTCTTCTCCCCCTGTCTCGTCGCCGTGTCTCCACCTCCCCCTGCAGTGGTGTGGATGTCTACACCGCGCTGGCAGGAGCTACAGGCGCACTCTACGGCCCGCTGCACGGTGGAGCCAATGAGGTGAGCCCTGGCACCGCACAGCACCTCACAGTACCGCGCTCGGTGTGCCTGCTGGCCACCAGGCACTTACTGGTGGTGAGAGGGTAGTCAGCTGCTTGGAGGTGGGTCAGCTGCTTAGAGGTGGGTCAGCTGCTTGCAGGTGCGGGAGCAGGAGCTATTGGTGCACGCTACGGCCCTCTGCAGCACAGGGGAGCCAGCTTGATCACTGGATGCGGGTTACACGGCTGATGCAGCTGCTGATCCAGCTAGTTGTGGGAATCACTTGGAGACTCTCACGCTCACCACATGGAACACAAGCAAGTTTCCACAACGACACGCCCATGCTGCGTACTCGCACCACCCCCTCCCCCTCCCTTTCCCCCCCTCCGCTCTCCCCCACACACACACATTTTTTTACCGACGCTTTTTGCTGATCGTAGCCCAGGCAGTGCTGAAGATGCTGAAGGAGGCAGCGGGACAACATTCCCGAGTTCACCCCGGGCGTGAAGGACGTGCACGAGCTTCTCCTTCCTCCTTCCCTTCCTTCCCTCCCCTCTTTCTCCTCCCTGTCACCCCAGGCGGTGCTGAAGATGCTGAATGAGATCGGCAGCGTGGACAACATCCCCGAGTTCATCCAGGGCGTCAAGGACAGGAAGCGCCGCATGTCAGGCTTTGGGCACCGCGTGTACAAGAACTACGACCCACGGGCCAAGGTCATCCGCGGCTTGGCGGAGGAGGTGTTTTCCATCGTCGGGCGTGACCCGCTCATCGAGGCAAGTAGAACGGCTATCTCAATTGTGTGGTGCTGAGGGCATGTCGGGCTTTGGGCACCGTGCGTGTAGTTCAGGCCATCTAGGGCTTGGCTGAAGATCACTGGGCGTGATCCCCTCATTGAGGTGGGGGAGAATCTGTTGTGTTCTGGGCCATGTGCCCTCCTTGCACAGAGACTCACTTCTTCCCAAGCTCTGATTCATTTTAGCCCCTTGGTCCCTGGCCCCATTGCTTGCTTGCTCCAACTGACCCCTTGGAGCACCCTATCTCTGCCATTCTCTGACCCCTGCAGGTGGCGGTGGCGCTGGAGCAGGCAGCCCTGTCGGACGAGTACTTCATCAAGCGCAAGCTCTACCCCAACGTCGACTTCTACTCCGGCCTCATCTACCGGTCAGTGGTGCCGGTCGAGCACTGTGCCTTAAAGCCATTGCTTCTATGCACGGGCTTGTGTTTGTATGATGGGCTGCACCCTTATGTGCTGGTCACTGGGACTTCCTTCATCAAGCGCAAACTCTATCCTACATGGACTTCTACCCTGGGCTGTTTCTACCAATCAGCGCGACCTTTATCCCCCGGCCTACATACTGGAACTAGTACTCTGGACTTTATACGAGTTGGTGGAACTCGCTGTGATGGGTCACACAGCTCTGTGATGACTCGGGGTGGAAGGGTCCACCGTAGAAGGAATAATATTATAGGTGAGTATTTCCCTATCTGTCATACTCCTACCACCAAGGCTGTCATCCTTGCGTGCTCCCTGCCTTGCCCATGCCGAACTTGCTCCCCCCATTTCCCCCCCCGCGCTCTTGACTTGCCATTCCCCACATGGTGGGGGTTAAGCTGCCTCGAGACCGTTCAGTCCAAGGCTATCATCTCATCGGTGCATGTTTCCCGCCTCGCACCATTCCACCCCCTCTGCAGCGTTCTTGGCTTCCCCACAGAGTTCCTTCCAGTGCTCTTTGCCATCCCTCGCATGCTGGGGTTTTGAGGCGCCGCCAATCGTTCCCTGCCTGTCTGACCGTGTTCCGCCCTTCCCCTTCCTCAAACCTTCCCCCCCCCCCACCCGCCCCCTTTCCTCCTCAGCGCGCTGGGCTTCCCCACGGAGTTCTTCCCAGTGCTGTTCGCCATCCCACGCATGGTGGGGTACCTGGCGCACTGGAAGGAGTCCCTCGACGACCCCGATACGCGCATCATGCGCCCGCAGGAGGTAGGTTGCGGCTGCCATGGTGATGTAACAGTAGGTTTGAGACATCTTGAGACCCTTCCACACATGGTGGAAGGAGTCCCTTGATGACACTGACATGCGCATCACGCGCCCACAGGAGGTAGGCTGCTGCTGCTGCTGTGCCATTGTACTGGATCATTAGCATGCCAACTCATTCAGCTACCAGCATATCAACATCTTAGTAGATACTTTCCTGATGTCTCTCTGCTCTTTTTCTTATATGTCAACCCCCCTCCCCTGCCACCCCGCTCTCCCGCAGTGCTACATTGGAGAGTGGCTTTGCCACTACCAGCCTGTTGGGACGCGCCTCGCCCTCAGGCACGGAGGGGTTCACGTGGTTCCTCTTCCCCTCTCAGACTTGCTTCCATTATCTTTGAACCGTGCCCCCCTTTAGCCGCTCCCCTCCCCTGGCACCCCTCTCCCCTGCCACTATCAGTCTGACAGGATGCGCCCTCTCTCGGACAAAGAGGGCCTGACATGGTCCGAACCCAATTCCCTTCTTGCTGTTACACCTGCTTCGTTTCCTCTGCTCCTGCCACCCCTCTCCCCCGCAGTGCTACATTGGTGAGTGGTTCCGCCATTACCAGCCTGTCGGCATGCGCCCGCCCTCAGATGCCGAGGGTCTGGGTCAGATTGCTGTATCCAACGCCACCAGGAGACGGCTCGCTGCCATCTCCTCCAACATGTGATTCGGTTTGATATGCGGCTGGTTTCTAAGAAGGGACTGTGTACTGTGCGTGTCACACTAAGTGCGTGCGGTGCTGGTGTGGTTGTGATAGAGATGCTGTATCAGGTCTCATTCTCGTCAATAAAGTTGTCAATATCTTTGAATTGTGCATGGATCGTGCAATGGATGGCTTGTCTCAATAATCAGCTGTTTTACGAGGTTGGAATACTCATCCGGTACAGTGCCAGATGTAGGTAGTACTGTGTCAAACTACAGAATGAGGTGACACATGCAGGACAAGTTCCTGAATTGGGGTTATCCCTGTTAAAGCGAGGATCTCAAGAAGCAGAAAACCAAAGGGTTTGGTTTTGGGGGGTAGCGAAAATCGCGAGGTGTGGTGGGGGGTGTTGGAGGCCTCAGTTACTGAATCGCTTATTTCGTCACCCCGAAACCAAACCTTCTGGATTTGGTTTCGTGCTTCTTCTTGAGATCCTCGCTTTAAAGTGTTCTAAGAGACAAATTGATCCGTAGAACCTTCTCCTGGAGTCTAGGATACTTAGGAACCAAAACGGGCATATGACCCATCGAAAGATAACGAAGTGAACTAGAACGGGTAGTACGGGGTAGTTTCGTACTAGGTGTTGTACCCTTTATGGCATGCACCTATCTAGCCTATAACAATATATATCAATATGTTGACACACCCCCTTGGCTAACCAAGGGGCAGCGCCTGGCAAGAGACACGCAGCTCAGGGTGGCACTACTAATCCAACCTCTGAGGCAAGGGTCTGAAGACCAGTCAGAAGAGTACAAACTAGATAAGAGCAAACCAAGGCGGCACTACTAGTCTGACCACTGGAACAGAAGCCACAAGGCCAGTCAGGAGAATATATAAAAGATTAGTTCACAATCAAGGCCCTAGCAAGGGAGGAGCTACAAGAACTAGACCAAGCTGTACACAGTGCCGCTGATGATCTTCAGGCGCAAGCGCCGTATTACAGAAATCAGCTGTGTTGGCACCGGAGGCCAAATGTACTACGCGGGCCTGGCGGCGCTGCTGTAGTTCGCACATGAGGAAGTACCGCAGCTGGATGTGCTTCGCTCTGCCCTCCAGTCGAGGCTCCTGACACAAGAGGATCATGGCCATGTTGTCAGTGTACAGGACCGGGGCAGAGCTAGGACGCTCACCTAGAAAGAAAGAAAGCAAGAAAGTCAGCCAGCGCAGCTCTTGTGCCGCCATGGCACTGGCGTAGATCTCAGCCTCACAATTAGACAGTGCAACAGACGACCAGCGGGTGGACCTCCACGAGATGGCACCTGCACCAAGGCTAAAGCAGTAGCCCTGGGAGGACCTGAGCGTCACAGCGTCGTCTGCCTACAAAGCGTCTGTGTGCCCTGTAAGGACCACTGGCCTGCGTCCTCCTAGCACTAGCCCCATGCCCGATGTACTTGCTAGATAACGCAAAACCCTCTTAGCGGCCGACCGGTGCTGTGGTCGGTGTCTGCCTGTGGCCATAAAGCGAGCCTGGATGCTGAGAGGGTATGCAAAATCTGGACCAGCTCTGCGTAAGGACCACTAGGCTCTACAGACTCCTCAGAGACTGGAGCCGAGAGCTTGTGATCTACTAGCAGAGGTGTGAGCTGTGCGGGGGAGAAATGAAGACCGAACCTCTGAAGAGATGGCGTACCAAGTGTGACTGTGTAAGAGGGATGGCGCGCGTTGCTCTGTCCCTGGAGATCTGCAGGCCAAGGTAGCGGCGTAGCTCTCCTAGGCCAGTGCAGATGTGCCTCCTCAGCAGCTCAGCCTTCACAGAGGCCAGTGCGTCTTTGTCTGCAGTAGCGAAGACCAGGTCATCTACGTAAACAAGGATGTAGAACGGGGTCTGGCCAGAACGAACGAAGAGCGAGGGGTCTGCAGACGACGGGAAGAACTGCAGGTCAGCTCACGTAGCACCCAACGTGTCGTGCCACTCACGGTGCTCCTGCCGTAGGCCGTAAACCGGGCGCCGGAGGAGCCACTCGGTACCAGGGGCGAAGGTACCGGTGAAGCCAGGCGTACGGCGTAGGTAGACCTACTCGTGCCGGGGAAACTAGCATGGCGTAGAGATGAGGTACAACAGTCGCAAGGAAAGCCAGCTCATACTGCCTATCCTCTAGAAGGTCACTACCACAGGCACCCCCGACGGACGAAGGATGGGAAGGGAGAGAGACCAGAGCGGAGATGTAGTCAAGGCAGTGGCATGTAGTAAAGTCAGCGACAGTAGTAACGAGGGCAGAGACGCCAGCAGGAGGAGCCGTAGGGTCCGTAACAAGAGACGCAAGTAAGCGAGAGCCCACTGGGCAAGCAGTGCGACTAGAGTCAGAGAGAGGAGCGGAGGAAAAGGGTAGGGATGATGGAGGAGGTAACGGGAGGACAACGACCGGAGGAGAACGAAAACGAAGGACCATAGGGTGGACATGAGAACAGGGAAAGACAGGACGACCACCAGGGGGACGACGTACCCACTAGTGGGCAACGGGGGACAGAACAGGGGACGGGGGAGAACGAGGGGGAAAACGAGTTGGAAAGGAGTCTGGGGGAGGGAACAGCGGGCCGTAGATGGGGGCACATAGGAGGGGAGGCGCTGTGGGAGGCATAGGCTGGCAGTCATGGGCACCAGAGGAAAGGCCAAGGAGACGAAGGGCAGATTGCGGCTGCTCCTGCTGCTACTGCTCCTGCTCCCGACCCACGCCAGGATACCCAGCCCCACCACTGTCACCGCCAGGACTCTACGAGTTAGCACACCGAGGACAAGCACCCCCAGAAGAATCCCCAGCCACCGCAGTAGCAGCAGCCGCAGCAGTAGCAGCAGCCGTGGGCCCGCCTCCCAGCAGTAGCAGCAGCCGTGGGCTAGCCGCAGTAGCAGTAGCCGCTGGCCGGGAGCCTCTGGAGGTGGTGGCCGCGGTGGCGGCCCGCCCAGCTCGGCGTCTACCGGCGGCCCAAGTGCTGTGAGCTGCCAGTACCAGCTCCAGACCGGCCCTCTCCGCGGCACAGTCTGCCATCGTCCGCACCTGACTGCCCGCTGCTTCCGCCGCCTCGACGACCTCCTTCGTCGCCGCTTTGCCCCGGCCCCGGACCTCCCTGACTGGCCGATTCTACTGCGTCATGGTGTGCCTGTTTTTTATTTAGACATGGATCAGATTAGTTCTGCTTTGCACTATCTATATGCTGATACTTCTAGTGTGTCCGGATTCTATTACCCGGTGTTGTCTAGTTTAGGCGTAGCTCTTGTGTGCCGTACAGACTCCCCTGTTGTGCCAGGCATAGGACCGTTAGCCTTGTCTAGCCTAAGCTCTACACTCGCTCCTCCTCCGTCCAGCGCTACTGCGTCGCTGTCCTTCACACTTGACTCTAGTGCATCTGCCTGCTTCTTTCGTGACCACGCGACACTCACACCGCTTGCTGCGCCTGCCCTGGTCGCCCTCGCCGACCGTTCGTCTGGTCCTGTCGTAGCACGCAGCTCCACTACCCTCCCCTGTCCAGCCGCCCCCTCAGGTTCCCTTACAGGCCTACACATCCCTTTGTTCTCTAGGAACTTAGTTGGTGTCGGCTGTCTTCAGGACCTCAGCGTCACCACTACGTTCCCTGGGCACGAGCGGTACGGTGTCTGTACCGAGGCCGCCTCAGGTTCCCCGCTTGCGACGTTCCCCCGGGACCCGGTGTCTGGCCTGTTTACGCTGGACACTACTTCCCCCCCGATAGGCGCGTCCTCCCCGGGCCCTTCATCTATCCAGGATGCTGCGGCTTGCTCATTTTAGTCGCTTACTCACTTGTCGCTCCTGTGGCACCACCGCTTAGGTCACCCCGCACTCCAGCACCCGCATCACATATCTCAGCACGGTCAAGTCCTATGTCTCCCTGCGTCGCTCCCCGCCCTCCCTCCCTCAACTGCGCCGACGTGCACACCCTGCGTCAAGGGCCGGCAGCGCCGTGCCCCTCGCTCCTCCTTGTTGCGCCCTACTACATCACCCCTTCAGACCTTGCACCTAGACGTCTAGGTTCCGGCCCCCGTCCCCGGACCGAGTCGCGAGCGCTACTTTCTCACGACTACACGCGCTATACTACGGTGTTCCCTCAGGAGCGGAAGGCCGACGGGCCTGACGTTCTTATCCCGTGGGTCGTAGCTGCGCGTCTCCACCGCAGTCTCCTTGTGCTTCGTCTCCACTCTAACCGTGGCGGCAAGTTCGCCTCCGGTCGGCTTGGACAGTTCTGTCGTGCGGAGGGCATCACCCAGTCGTACACCTTGCCGGACTCACCACAACAAAATGGGGTCGCTGAGCGACGCATCAGTTTGGTCATAAAGGTGGCTCGTACCTCCATCATCCATGCCGGTGCACCCCATTTTTTGTGGCCCTTCGATGTTCGCTACGCAGCTCACGAGCTTAACCTGTGGCCGCGCTCCCAGCGGCCGCAGGTTTCGCCGACCCTTCTTTGGACCGGGTCTCCTGGTGACGCATCTGCGTTCCACGTCTGGGGATGCCTTGCTCACGTTCGTGCCTTTGGCACGGACAAGCTCACTACCCGCATTGTCCCCTGTGTCTTCCTCGGTTTTCCCCTTGACTTGTCTGACTGGCACTTCTATCACCCGCCGTCTCACCGTTTCCTTCACTCGCGTGACGTCACCTTTGACGAGTCTGTCTCCTTCTACAGTCGCTTTCCCCACAGAGGTCTCCCGGTCTCCCCTCCCCTCTTTCTGGTTCCCACCGCCCCGGTAGCCCTTGCCCCCCCTCCCCCGTGTCCTGCCCCGTCTGGTGTGTCTCACCTCTCCCCACTCCTCTCGGTTGTCCTGGTTGAGGAGTTCGCTGACTCCGATGGCCCCGCGGCACAGTCCTCACCGCCTTTTTCTGCCCCGATGTTTCCTCCTCTGCCGCCGTCGCCGCCGCAGCCGCAGACGTCGCCGCCACTGCCGCAGCCGTCCGAGGGCCCTGGTGGTGGTGCTCATGCTGGAGAGGGTCCTGGTTCTGGGGGTGCTCGTTATGGGGTTCCTGTCGTGGCTTGTCCCGGCGGTCTCGGGGGTGGCACCGGTGCTAGAGAGGGTTCTCGTTCTGAGGAGGTTGGTTCTGGGGGTGCTGGAATGAAGCTTCTTGGAGGCAAACGTGGTGCAACTGGAGGTTCAGGTGTCGGTGTGGAGCCGCAGCAGCAGCCGCCGCCGCAGCAGCAGTCTCCGCCGGTGTCCACCCTTCGCCTGC